TCATAGATCCTTATATAGTTTTGCAATTACAAGCTCTGCTCGCTATTTTGTTTTGCTTTGTAATATGTAACTAATAGTTACTCTACTTCTTGTACTACTCTCATTGGGTGTGGTCAGGTTAGCTATTTAGCAACTGATAGCTTGTTTCCTGAGTGGAAAATATGGTCTCAATTTCTTGATGAAATTACTGCTGGTCTTAAGTTGGATGGGCTTGCAGAATCCCACCCAATTGAGGTATTTTTAAATCTTTCAGCTGTCCATGGATTTAGTATGCCTTAGATAATGAAGATTGCTAATTTTATCCGACTCTGCTTTTATGTCAGATTAACTATATGCAGTTATTTTGTTTATGTTTTTGTTGTGTATAATCAATATATATTTTTGTATTTAGATTTTTTGAATTAACATATTCAAATAAATCAAGCATTTTGCTAACCCTTGGCTAAAAAAAGTAATCTTTATAAAAATATTTTGCAGGTGGAGATAAATCATGCTGGTGAGATTGATGAAATATTTGATGCTATAAGTTATAGAAAAGGTGCTTCCGTAATTAGGATGCTACAAAGCTATCTAGGTGCTGAACCCTTTCAGGTCAGTACTTGGCCCATGCTGCTTCCATAAAATACTGTTATCAATGACAGCTTTTCAAGGAAGAAATAGGAACCTACAATGAATTTTTCATATTGAATTCAACAAGTAATAAGCAGATGTAGTATTTATTATGATGTGAAGTTTTTCTAAGTATGTATTAAATATTTTTATATTAAATTACATATAAAATATGGCAGAGCTATGTGTTGCGTTATTTGTGATTATATTATCATTGCTTGTTTATGTACCCAGAGGTCACTAGCTTCATATATAAAAAAATATGCTTACTCAAATGCTAAGACTGAGGATCTATGGGCTGCACTTGAGGAAGGATCTGGTGAACCTGTGAACAAAATAATGACCACATGGACAAAGCAGCAGGGATATCCTGTTGTATCTGTTAAGGCCACTAATCAGAAATTGGAGTTTAATCAGGTTTCATTGCATCTGATATTTTCACCAGTTCTTCATTATGATTATTTTCAGTAAATCCATTATATGTATTGTAGCGTGTAAGTTGTAAGTTTAACATGTAATTTGCAGTCACGATTCTTGTCAAGTGGGGCTCAAGGAGAAGGCCAATGGATTGTTCCAATATCGCTAAGCTTTGGCTCGTATGACGTCCGGAAGAATTTCCTCTTGCAAACAAAATCTGAAACACTTGATGTTAAAGAGTTCTTGGGCACCTCAATTGAAGATAAAGGTGTCAATTCTTGGATTAAACTTAATGTGGACCAGACTGGTTTTTACAGGGTGAAATATGATGAGTTGCTGGCAACTAAACTTCGATATGCTGTAGAGAAGCAGCTCTTAACTGCAACAGACCGATTTGGTAAATTAGATATCTCGTGACAAATTGTTTCATTGCTAGAAAAGGAAAAAGACAAGTAACTTGAGAGTTATTACTTTGACAGGCATTTTGGATGATTTATATGCACTCTGTGTGGCTCGCCAAGAATCATTGACCTCCTTGATTAACTTGATGGGAGCTTACAGGGATGAAGCTGATTATGTGGTGCTATCCAACCTGATTACGGTAATGTTATCTTCCAAAGCTTGCTCATTCATTACTTAGGTTATTTCTGGATCTAATTCTGATTTCTATTTTATTATTTTTGGATCTAATTCTGATTTCTATTTTATTTTACAGATAAGTTATAAAATTGAATCAATTTCAGCTGATGCAGTACCAGACTTACTTGAACCTCTCAAGCAATTCTTTATTAGCCTTTTCCAGTATACTGCTGAGTAAGTTGTTACATGCATCGATCGTGAGAGGATTCTGTTTCAGTCTTTCACTTGATAATAATAACTTACAGCAATTAGAGTAGCTCTATTGTAACTGTGTAACACTCATACTGCTTGCATCATGATAATAAAGGCATGTGCAATACCATGGAGTTAGTAGTCTCTGCTAGGAATCTGGATATAGACATTGGAAAATAATAACAAGTGATGTTGCTGTAGAACTGATAACTCAGATTTGGATGATAATAACTAATGGTAATGTTGCTGTAGAACTGATAACTCAGATTTGGATGATAATAACTAATGGTAATGTTGCGGATATGGATATAGACATTGGAAAATATGGAGGCTTCACAAGCGATGCCGACTTGTCTGTTTGTGTTATGCCAAGATTGGCTATGTTCGTTGATTAGTTTCTTTTTTGTCTGTGTTTCAACTTATTACCCTCTTTTGATATTCCCTTACAGGAGGCTTGGTTGGGATCCAAAACCTGGAGAAAGTCATCTTGATGCAATGCTGAGGGGAGAAATTTTGACTGCCCTTGCTTTGTTTGGACATGATCTAACACTGGATGAGGCAAGCAGGCGTTTTCAGGCATTCTTAGAAGACAGGAATACACCAATTCTTCCACCTGATATAAGAAAGGTTGTCCACAGCATCAATAGAATGCTGGAAATTTCCCTATGGATTCTTCTGTTAATGATTTTTTTTTTGTGATATATTGCCAGGCAGCATATGTGGCTGTAATGCAACGGGCAAGCAAATCTAACCGACTGGGCTATGATTCCCTGTTGAAAATATATAGAGAAAGTGACCTAAGCCAGGAGAAAACACGCATTCTGGGTAATAACATCTCTTATATGTGAGTTAACATATCATTTTTCTAGGTCAGGATACTAATATCTTATGTTCTTGTAGGTTCACTGGCTTCTTCACCTGATCCAGATCTGATTCTTGAAGTTCTTAACTTTTTGTTGACTTCTGAGGTATCTGATTTTCAGATATTATTTGACTTCAGAATACTCATACATACACAAGTTGGAAAATTATATATTTAACAACATCTAAGTCTTTCTCCACTGGGTGGGGTCAGCTATATCGATCAAGTGATTCCGTAAAGTCCTGCCAAAATTATAATATATATACACTTGAAATTAATATGTTGTTTATATATGTTCAAGGTTCGTAATCAGGATGTTGTTTTTGGACTACCTTCTAGTCGGGAAGGACGAGAAGTAGCTTGGGCATGGTTGAAGGTAAACAACTCATAACCAGCAGTCTGAAGCACATTAAATTGAAATGAAGTGTATAGACCTTAATATATCAAGATCCAACTATCTGCTTATGTTTTTAGGTGAAAACACATGAATAATGTTTATTTTTATCGCTAACATGCTCCTCAAGCAAGAGCTTTTTGGGCTTGTAGCGTTAACAATTCACAAGCCATTGTACCACGTGCTCAACTTTTATAAAGGATGGGGTTGGCAATGATCAAACCCATGAGACCATGACTACTTGGTCATAGAGGCTCTGATACCATGTCATGAACCAACTATAAAAAAACTTAAGCTAGTAGGTGAAGATGCATCAATGTTTTTTATTTTTATATCCAACATAACCAATTTCAGTTTCTTTCAAGCTTTTGGAAATTGATCAATGTTTGGATTGAATTAGAATCATTTGACTAAGTTTCCAACTTTCCATTTTGTTGTAGAACTGGCAACTCAGATTTGGGAATTAGCCCAAACCTACTTTCTCACATCATTTGCCAACATTGCATGTCATACCTATTTATGCTATTATATGCTGTTGCTCTTACGTCTAAGTCTGAGAGCATGCTAAGTTTCACTGATTTTTCATTGCCCATGGCAATGCTGTTTGTAGTCTTTTGGTGAATAATATAGTATCTTGATTTTGATAACAAATTGCAACGGAAATAATGATATATGCACTTCTCTTACTTCTAACCTTGTTTGCCTTCAATTGTATTCTCAGAAGTTCTGTATTAATTTTATGCAGGAAAACTGGGAAACCCTCTTAAAGACATATGGTTCTGGATTTTTGATAACCCGCTTTGTCGGCGCAACAGTCTCACCGGTTTGTCTTATGTTCCTACACTCTATTCCTTTGATATCCTCACTCTAATGGAGAAATTAAATTCTTTGTTTTTGTGCCTACCCATTGTTGCAGTTTGCTACCTTTGAGAAGGCGAAGGAAATAGAGGAGTTCTTTGCCACCCGTGGTAAGCCCTCGATTGCTAGAACGTTAAAGCAGAGCCTTGAACGGGTTAATATCAATGCAAACTTGGTTGAGAGTGTTAAGAATGAGAAAGATCTGGCTGATACTGTGAAGGAGTTGGCATACAAGAAATACTAGGCTGTGCTATCTTGTTTTCATAAAATGGTTGTGTAGCTACTTACTTACCACTTTCTTCACCTTGTCCATGTTTACTGTCTTTGAACCTCCGCAGCTGCTGCTCTAGTAATAAAGTTGACTTCTGTTTACATTTTTATACAAGTTTTTATTTCCTATACAGCTTCGGAACTATACATGTCTTGTTCATAATAATTGATTTAAATATCAGTAATGTACGAGGTTGGGGTATATATACGCTTTTAAGTTGCTAAATTATTTTTAGAATTTCAACTTATAACATTTAGTTCATTAGGAGAGTGACCCACCTAATACATTTCTTTTTGAAGATTTTGTTATCCATTCTTAATCAAACAACCTAAATTCATTGATGAACCTTTAGCAATCCTTTTATCCATTCTCTATGAACATCTTGTAGAAGAAACCACGTAAAAAAATGCTTGTATTCATACAAGGGGTTGATTTATTAGTGTAAGGTTGATAGGATCAAGGCCTATCAAAACATTAAGGGTGTGTATAGAAGAGGAGTTAGGAAGGTTTGGAAGTTAGATAACTAACTACTTCCCTTAACTGAATTGTTTCTATTATCTTTCTCTTGTAATTCTCCTCATATTCTTTCTCTAATAATACAATTCAATAGAGCCCAGCCAAGAATACTTACTGTTTTGGCTTAAGGACAATTCTTTTCATTCTTTCTTCTACTCTAAGATACCAATGTCTATCAAAGGTTTCATTAGATCTAATTTTCTTGTATAGTGAAGTTTGAGCTATGTCCCAATAAATGTAGCATGAGATGGAATAATTTCAGCAGGATGTAAAATTGTCCATAACTAACATTTGGGCAGCAACTGCCACTAGAGAAGGCAAGTCTTTCACAGCCAACCTGAGCAACCAGCAAAGGTTCATTTAGTTCCACATCTCATATAACTCAAATGGCAAAAACAAATTAAAAAGGTGCCAGCAGAATCCCCAAGTAAAGTCTTTTGTAGCATCAAATTAGCCATAATAAACTATTAAATATGTTGTCTTTCATCTTATAGTATTGACAATAATTATAGACAACTGAATGATAAACTTAGTTTATTATTTTGTTTTCCAAGCAGAAGTCAAATATATTACACTTCCATTTAAATGAAGAAAATGATAATGACATGTAACCCAATACAAGCTAGTGTACCTTTCGTGAGGATGAGAAAATCGTGAGGCTTGGGTTCAACTCACACAGCACAATTATGGACTTAAAATGCCATTTAGGAAGTGGGAAGAAAAAGTGACCTAGTTGTTAAGTGTTAACTCCTATGCTACTAAATGGAAAAATGTTAATCGGTTGTATATAAAAAAGGAATAAATGTCACACCATATTTTTTTTCTTCTTATCTTTTTATCCAATACTCACATATCTACTACCAGAGAGAGACATATGCTTAAAAAAAAAAGAATAAGGATACAAATACATGTTCTTCCCATCATTTTTAATGGAAAAAATTTAGTTTCATTATAATTGAAAAGATAAATATATCAATGAAAATTATATTTCCCTTTGTTTTTAGAATAAATTGTATATCTATGGAGAAAATTCTAACTCAACAAAAATCTGAACTGGATCCGATTTAGTTATGAAAGTTGGTCCGACCCGGAACATTGCGGGGCACCCGGATGAGGAATAGAAAATGGGTAGCTATGTTTTGTGTTGTGTTGTGTTGTGTTGGTGATGGCAGATCCCTATTACCCTTACGCTACTCCCTCACTCGCTGATTCTGACACAGGTATTCATTCATTCATTCATTCATTCCTTCTTCTTCTCTCTTCCTTTTTTCCACTACGCCATTTTCATTTTCTTCTCTCTTGCTTTTTAATTTCCATTCATGGAACCTTACTTCTTCTTAATTAGGAATTATCTTAACATCTCATTTACTCTTTAAAAACCTATAAACTGATACATAGAAATTTAAAACCTAGTTAACACTTCAATTCATATGCCAGTGTTATTCCGTTTCTTATTATTACTTTGATTGCTTCAGCAAGCATTGCCAGAACTAGCTTTGCCGGTTATATTCCATCCACCGCACCATCATTATTGACTTCTCCTCATGCATCAAATAGGACTGAATTGCGTGGCGCCGGACCAGATTACCAGCAAAAAGATGTAAAAAAAGTTAAATTATTATTGAGTTATTATGCAATTAATACAATTGTGTGTGTGTGTGGGTGATAAATTTTCACTTGAAATAATTGCAGATTAATTTGTATCGGATGGGGGCGTATGGTGTTAATGATACGATTGGTTCTAGAGTTCATCATGAACCTGTTGTTGCAGCCGGGCTTGATGTAAAGCATTATCCATCTCTTGATGATCGTGATCTTAGTAAAAAACGAGATACTTCGTTAGGCGTTAGTCCAGGTGTTCCTGATATACATAGTGAAAGATCGCTCACGAAAAGCAATCATGACGGTGTCTCAATTGCACCAAGGGATTCAAATGTTCTTTTCGTGGGTGGACTTCCGAAGGACTGCACTAGAAGGGAAGTTGGCCGTATCCTTTGCTGTATACATGTCAGGATTTATGCATTAGAATATTTGTGTTTGTTCATGGTGTATGTGGATAACAGAAATAGGAAGAAAGTATCTTCAAATTAAATTCTTATTCGATGTATAATATAACATCATTTTTAGCGGTACTTTGTTACTTCAAGTTCATCAAAAACTTTGTGTGGACAAAGTTATTTTCCTTTTAACAGTTATGTAAATGAAATTGAAGTGTGTATGAAATAACATTAATCATATTTTATTGTTCTTGTTGATATGGAGCCTTGACCTATTTCTGAAGACCTTTTCCGTCCCTTTATTGGCTACAAAGATATCAAAGTTATCCACAAGGAGCCTAGACGAGTAAGTGTTTAAATTAAGATGTTTATGTGTATTATTTTACATGGAACCTATAACAGGTGTTGGTTCAATTCGTAAAGTCAAGTTGTTAGGGAAGCAAGAACATAACCCCCTGTAGCATAATTTGCATCTATTGATAGAAGAAACAATACTTCTGAGATTGTGATTGTTATATGTCATTTAGCATTAAGCTATTGCTTCTACACTGTTCATGAAGTTCTTCTAGTAAAATACTAGCTCTGGTTTCTGTGGCAAAGGCTTCGGGTACTTGAGATCTTTGCCACAGGATATATTTAAGTATCCTCTAGATATTCTCTATAATAAAATTTAATATATTCTAAGATACTCTCATATATTTTAACACCCTCCAAAAACCAATTCGCAAACAGACCCTAAAAGTTGTGGATGACTCCCTTGGGTTGGGTCACAATGTTGTTGGACCACCTTGGGTCCAATTAGGGAAACAGTTTCTAAACTATATTTATTGTAAAATGTTAATCTATATTATTTATTTTTATTTGATTTATTATGAACGTTTAGTAGTTTTTAAATGACATAAGTTTACTACAGAGTGGAGACAAGGCCATGATTCTGTGCTTTGTGGAATTCATTGACGCAAAATGTGCTCTCACTGCCATGGAAGCTCTGCAAGGTAAAATGTTATTTAACTTTATCAGTTTGCATATGGTAAGGTTGCTTTCCTTGTGACCTGGAGGTTATAGGTTCAAATCCTGGAAACAACTCTTCTCTTGCGAGAGTAAGGCTGCGTATATCTACCTTCCCCAGACCCCACTAGGTGGGAACCTCGTGCACTAGGCGGCCGAGCTTATTTAATTTTATCAGTTTGCATATCAGCATATGATTGATTTTGTTGTCTATCCATATGGTCTTAAATTACTTTGTGTTGACACTATATGGAAAATATAGGATACCACTGAATAATATGAGATTTGATTATATGATAGATGTGAATCAAAATACAAGGCACTAACACCTATATATACCAATATTATAGGTCAATCAATGTAATACAATTACTACATGCCCAACTCTACAAGATTACTATGTACTAACTTAAGACATGCCTATGGGACAAAGTAACTAAGAGAAGAAAGTGAAATAATCCCTTATATATGTTTGTGACACCTCTTATAGTCTTCTGCTTTATATATTAATTTGATTATCATAGCTATTTCATAAGCCGATGCCTTTTGTTTCAGCCCTTTGAACTTAATCATAATATAAATGTGGGGAAAATACATCATATACTCAAATATAAGATTTTATGCAGGCTACAGATTTGATGATAAAAAACCTGAGTCGTCGACCTTGAAAATACAATTTGCACACTTTCCTTTCCGTCCACCTGATCATGATCAACAGCTTAAGTCATAGTAACCGGTATTGGTTTTATGTTGCGAGAATTCGTTTGATGCTGTTCAGGTGAACTATATTTGCAGAAATTTGTTTTTACATTCCAAATTGTAGTTGAGTTGCCTGGCCGGTGAATACATGAATGCATGCATGGATCAATTTCTGGCAATGGAGCAAACTCTATCAGTGAATGCAAACAAACATATTCGTATCACTCAAAGGATCTATTAGTAAGAACTTTCATGTTTAATTTTTGCCCATATCAGCAAAGCCCTTCTCCCAGTTCATGTACAAATACCCTTGATAGACACCAAAACGTCTCATGTATTGGGCCACCATTATTACCTTTTAATGGAATGTATTTTGGCATTTCTCTATCACAATTTGCTTGGTGTACCTATATGTGTCTGTTTTTATTTGTTATCAAAAGCATATTTAAGGGCTCACCATTTTTGGTACACACATATATGTGCTTTCTTATGCCCAAATGATGATTGATGGTGTGGTACTGTGCTTGCATGCTAGCTGTAGGTTGAGTATAAAGATTGGTGCTGCACTTTTTCATGGCTCTCCAGCCTGTAGAACCTTGTACATAGACATGCCTATTTGTGATACCCAATTTTTATTCAGGCCAAAGTTCAATCCAATTAGCACTGGTGCCTAAACTATAAAGAATAATAATTCTTGCTCAAAGTCCAGGATTCTGAAAAAATGACATACCATCACAACTGGGGGCCTTTCCAACTGTTATTTTAAATGTCTTTTTATGAAAAAAAGAATACTATATGCATATAGTTAGTTGTGCAAACAATATATAAAAGGAGTTAAAAATATACAAAATGAATATTCTAAAAAAGCCATTTGAAAAACATATATAGCTAATTATGCAATATAAATGCTAAGATTCTTGCTGAGTCTATTGGCTCATGAGTCTTCACAAAAGAAAGCCTGTGAAAAGTGAAACTTACTATGCTAGAAATTATCTGTGTCTTGACTGTGGAATATTTCTAGTCTATAAAAATTATCCTTAATTATGGGTTGGCTCATTGTCACAATTATAGTTATATCCAGAAAACCAACAATTATCAGTTCAAATTTAAATAAAATAAAAATAAATTGTGATCACAGTGAACTAAATGATTATTTAATCTATCCTTATAATCAATTAACTATAAATTATTATGCGAAATTGATCCATTGTTGAAAGTTCCCTACAGAAGTGCATATGATTGATGTGTCTTTTCTCGAAATAGTAGTTGAGTGTGAACTAGAGCAACAATAGCTGCATTAAGGTCCTCCAACAATAGCATCTAGTCTAAAACCAATGTGGGTGTTGAAGCCGTGAAAGTTACTCTCATTTCACAAATATGCGATTGATTATCATGCGGTATGGATATTGCTGTATGGGATTTTTGACATTTTTATTCTTTTAGTAATAGTTGTAAGTTTGTCCACAAAACTAACAAGTTCTTTTGTCATATCTCTTGACTTCTACTGAAACGTGCATGTTTCATGTTCAACATGTTGACATACTTTGAAGTTTGAATTTAGTACAAGTATTATACAATTAATACATGTGTAGTTAAATTTATTAATAAAAGAAATGTGATTTATTAAGATGACAATAACTCAATAACTATACATACATAAGTGGAATGTCAAATAAGAACTACCATCAATTGGTACAAGCAAGCACAAACTGTTGCTTATTATTATACACAGAGACATATTGTACCAAAAAAAATATCACTTTATGTCTATTTGTAATGATTGGTTGAAAAAATACAATGAAGTTCAAAGTTTAATAATTAAGTATTTTTCTAATCAATTACAAGTGATGACACGTACAATATGACACAATGTGCGGGAGAAGATAATTCCTTGTTATACCATGGCTTTCCTTACCCTTCAGTGTAAGAACCTGGACACCACAAACAAATAAAACTTGCTTTTCTGAAATTAGTGAGGGAGTGCTACAACAAAATAAAATTCTGATTTCATTAACTAATCTCTTGTTAAATTAAGGAGCTTGTTTAAAACTTACATGTCCCTGAATCTTATACATAAAATCTTATCCCTATCAAGACTATATAATATAAATTCATCAATATTTGTTGGAGGAGTTAATATAACTTTTACAGAATCCCCTTCAACAAATAATGAAGAAGACTTGAATATCATGTATAAAAAAACAAG